CAAGATTGGAATCAACAGCCTGCCATTTCATGTAAAGCCTTCAGTGAGGTGTGGTCCTGGGAGAGGGGAGAGCAAACGCAATTCAAGAAAGGAGTGAAGCGGGCTTAGTACATGGTGTAAACCACGGCATGCATTGGGTTTGAAGGCAGTAACTCAATAAGCCAAAGACACACAATGTTCATTGGCAAATACTTGTGGACACATTCACAGAACATTCGAATCACTGTAACTATTAGCATTTGAAATATCTTATGTGTACAGTCATATTTTATAATTTTATCCACTTTGATTTCTTCTATTGTGGGCAGATGAACTGCCAAAAGAAATCTGTTCAGGAAATTCTAGATGCTTGTGGATGTTTAACATTTGTCTTGGGAACCCCACTGCCTGAAAGAGCCTAAGCAATTAAATGCACCCCAGCTGAGTGTATTCGAACACCACCAGGCTCACAACTGGTACCTACATATCATTCCTGGGGCCACCTCATTTTTCTTAGCATCCCATGGTTTGATTTCAATGCTGAGAACAAGGGAGCTTTTTCCCTCCCCTAATATAATACTGATCTGCTACGTTCTCTTTTCTCTCCGGAACTGTCTGGAGTTTTAAAGGTACAGATCCTGATGAAGTGATATAGAAAACTGTATTCAACTCTGTGAAATATCACACAGATTCCATGCACAGCTTTCTGGCCCATGGAGAGCGGACCGGTCCCCTTACCTTTATCATAAATTTCCTTCAAGACCCCTCGCTTTATTAGCTCCTCTCTGCTTTGCCTCATTGATATTTTCCTTTCCAGGGCTATAAGCAAAACACAAACAGAGAAGCAGTTGTGAATAAGTAACAAAGATTTTTTTTAAAGGAATCATATTTTAATATATTGAAATGTAACATATGGGAAAATGTCTGTAAACTCCATTATACTAATGTACAGTTAATGATACCAGTTAACATTTTTTGATACTATGATAAGCATTTTAATCAGATACTTCATTTAATCTTCAAAACAACATTAAAATTACCTATGAGGTAGGCATTATTATTTCATTTTATTTAACCCCAATTTATGGTTGAGGAAACTGTAACAGAGGGAGGCTCAATAACTTGTTAGAGTCACGCAGTCACTGAGAGAAGGAATCAGGGTTCCAAGGCAAACACACTACCTCCGATCTTGGTTTAACCTCTGTGTCACAGTGCGTTTTCCTGAGTATAGTATTTCCTCATAGGTGGAATTTCTTTTTTAATGATCTAGCTCATGCAGATCATGTCTCATTGAGGACTTTTTTGCTCCCCAGCTATTAAAAAATGGTATGAGAATATCTCCTAAAGAGCTCCCTGGATGGAGAGACTGAGGGATAGTGGGGGACCTCCTGGGGACATACTACCACTGCTCTCCTCTCTTCACTCCAAGTTGGAGCAGTCAAGTGACAAATGAACTGTGCAGTTACCAAATGCACCTCCACCCAGACCCCCCACTCAGCTGAGCCAAATGCTCCGGAAAGTGGGGGCTGGAGTTGGAAAAAAGGATCATTTCCTCTTGGATCAGTGGGCACGATGGAAGGCAATTCAAGTGGAAAAAGAGCCCAGGAGGGGAGCAGTGAGGGGCAGCACAAAAGGGCAGGACCGTGGCTCAAGGTGGGGTGGCGGGAAAGAGCAGAATTTATGGAAGAAAGCAAGCTATTCCAGCAGCTGACATTGCCGTTTCTGGGTAAGCACTGGGTGGAGGAGGACAGAGGTTTATTTTGGTTGCTTTCGTCAGCTTGAGAGATAGNTCAAGGGTGAACTGTAAAGCAAAATAAAAAAATGAAGTCATCTATGTTAAGGCAAATAATTATCTTCATTAAGACATGTATGAAGAGCTTATGCAAGCATTTGCTAATTGTTTTTTCCCTTTGAGATAAGAGTGTTGTTCAGACTATTCCATGGTCTCATTTCAGTTTCTCAGACATGCTCTTTGACCAAAAGGCACATCTTCACAGGTACCCCACAGTGCTGAGGGTGCTTTCCCAAAATGTTCCCTCTGGTGGTAATGGTCCGAATTTTTGTGAGCCATGGAAACAGACTTCATCCAATGTTTTTTTGACACTGACCCACAAATGTGTCATTTTAGCAACAATATACTGTCATGGGCCACTTAACAATGGCAATACATTCTGAGAAATGTATTCTTTGGTGATTTTGTCATTACGTGAACATCATGGAATGCACTCATACAAAGCTAGATGGTACAGCCCACTACATACCTAGGCTCTACGGTGTAGCCTATTGCGCCTAGGTTGCATGTCTGTACACGTTTACTGTACTGAATACTGTAGGCAATTGTAACACAATGGTAATATTTATGTATTTAAACATATCCAAACATAGAAAAGAAACAGTAAAAATATGGTATAAGATAAAAAATGGCAGAGATACAAAGAAAAAACTGATGGTTGCTAGATGGAGGGGAGTGGGGACGGGGGAGACGGCGAAGGGATTAGAAAGTACAAATTAGTAGTCACAATATAGTCACAGGGATGTGAAATACAGTATGGGGAATATAATCAATAATGTTGTAAAGATTATGTAGGGAGCCAGATGGACACTGGACTTATCAGGGGAATCACTTCATAGACTGGGTAGATGCCTGCCCAATATGCTATATATCTGAAGCTGAAGTAGAATAATATTGAATGTCAACTATAATTAAATATACATATACATACATACATATATATATATATATATATATATATATATATATATATATATATATATCTTCACAGGATGTGGAGTACAGCATAGGGAAGATAGTCAATGGAATTTTAACAGCTATATATGATGTCAGAGGGGCAGTAGATTGGGGGAGAGGGATTATCACTTTGTGAGGGGTGTAGATGTCTAACTATTATATTGCTTTATACACCTGAAACTAATAAAAAAAAAGAATATTGATTTTAAAAAGTATAAAAAATGGGACACTTGTACAGGATACTTACCATGAATGGAGCCTGCAGGATGGGAAGTTGCCCTGGGTGAGTTAGTGAGTGAGTGAGAGAATGTGAAGGACATTACTGTCCGCTACTATAGAGTTTATAAATGCTGTACACTTAGGCTACACTAAATTTATAAAACAACATGAGATTAAATCAAGCACAAGAGAAAATGAAGCAATCAAGGGATGTGGTAAGCATGAGACATATGAAACTGCTGCTGGCGTCAACACAGCATACTGTTTTATAGAAATTTTTTATTTTTTATTTTTTTTCCGCTGAGCCATCCTGCTACCTGTTGGCAGCTCAGTGGCCGCTCAACTCGGGTCGTGAATGGAACCGGTGACCCTGTTGCTCAGGAAAATTTTTTTTTTTATAAGTGGAAAGAATACACTCTCCAATCATGACAGAAAGTATAGTAAATGCATAAACCAATAACAGGTCATTTGTTATCATTATCAAGTGCTACATACTGTCCATAATTGTACTGCTATATTTTTATACAACTGGCAGCAAGTTTGTTTATACGGATACCGCAAACATGTGAGCTATGATGTCACTAGGCAATAAGAAGTTCTCAGCTCCATTACAATCTTATGTAACCACTGTTGTACGTGTGGTTCCTTGTTGGCCAAAATGTCAGTTACACAACACATCACACTATTGAGACCAACAGAAAATGCATCCACGGTCTTGGTAACGGAGCGCTCGGTGGCCACTGGACAGGCTGAGAGCGCTGTTTCCCCAACACCTTTCCCTAAGGCTCCAGGGAGTCTGCAGAGGTCACTGAATTGATTCTTCACTGCTCTGCAGAAAGTGGAAGACGGACACAGAATATTGTGCCTGTTTTACAGAGGAAGGTAAGGCAGCATGGGAGGCTGTGCCCAGAGAAAAGTATATGTGGTCCATTGTTGACCGAAATGTCGTTACACAGCACATGGACTGTACAGAGCTTTGAAACAGCTTCTGTTAATCCCAGTAGCTCTTTACATCATCGCAATTAAAGCCACTAGCAGTTCTCACAGTCAGTAAAATGATGTGCCAAGCCACATTTAGCTAAGAAATAATTTATCTAAGGAGTTTATTGAAGATTAAAGAGCTTTAAACCTAAGAAGCTGGAAATGGCTCCCTGGAATTTGTTGACTTTCGTTGGAGATATTTTCTTCAATTTGCCTGATTTCAGGGAGTTGATGTGATTAAATTAAGTGGTGCTAGATATTATTCTGCAGAATTTTAAACATACGTATAAAGCAATACATGCCTATTAAATACTGCCTATGTACTAAGGATGTATTTGACGCTCAAGCATTCAAAAAGACTTGAAGTGAAAAAGTCTTATTTATAAAACAAACAAATCCCTTCTTCCTCAAAAAACCCCAAAAAACCTACAGTATCTTTCTCTGATTCTTCTGGTGCATTTTTCTTTCCCAGTGAGGAAAAGTCATTGTGTTATGTGTGTGTGTGTGTGTGTGTGTGTGTGTGNCCAGTGTTAATGGTGGGTGAAGGGGCCACTGGAGCAGTGTTTGTTTTGGGGGATAAAGGAGTTTTCTGACCTATATCAAATGACACAATACGGTGACAGAAGGGCAGGAAGATGTTCTCCGTGCCGATAGAGGAACTATCAGAGACGGGAAGAGAACAGCACACAGCAAGGTTAGAAAGCTCTGCCTGATTTAGAAAAAGATTTGCTTAGCAGCACAGAGGGAAAAGACTGGATAGGCTACAAGAAGCAGGGGGTTTGAAGCAAGGAGTTTGTTAACAGATATTTTGGGTGACATAAATCCACCAGAAAAACACGCATAAAGAGGGGCTTTTCCATCTTGTGCTGAATCACATAAATTGAACAGATTTCTTTTAAATAAAATGAGGTTTCCCAGAGGCTTTCATTCTACAGTAGATGGACCTGATCCACAGAGCTAAAGGAAGTACCTGCAGCAAGATGGGAAAAACCCTGGGCTTGGAGGTCTGAGGTTGCAAGTATCAGGAGAACACGGATGCTCTCAGGCCAACCACTTAGCCATCGGGCCTCAGCTGTCTCACCACATTTGTTGAGCAACGAGAGACCTGCTGCCCATGTTGACAGGTGCTCGGCTAGGGGCTGGAGATGATGGTGTCCAAAGGGACAGTCCCTCCCCTCATAGAGTTTATAGACTAAAGTACCATTCAGACAGTCATGTAATAATGTTATTATTTAATGTGATTACAAATTAAGATATGGTCTCTCACAAGAAAGGGACATGCTTCTACCAGAACATAGGATAAATAACGTCCACTACTGGGGCATTAGAAAAAGGTATTTTTGAGGAAGAGACCCCCGAGCTGAGTTTGGAAGATGAATATATATTATCTCAGCAAAGGGCGGTCAGGTGGAGGCTTAGTGAAGTTCTCCATACATAGCAAGTTGGGCAATGGCTTCTGAGGGAGAAATCATGGTATTGTGGACAAAGAGAAAGCAAGCTGGTGAGGCTGCAGCCACCAGCATCGGATGGAGGAGAATGGTTTGAGAGGTGACCAGAGGGGACGGGGCCTGGGCCATGCAGGGCTTCCTGGACCATGTTATTCTAAGGGCAAGGGGAATAAATGATCAGAGTTGAGCATAGCAGTCTAGGCAGGAGATGATGGCAGCTCAGACTAAGATGCTGGTGACAGAGATGGAGGCAAAGGATGCATTCAAGGCACATGAAGGTGGCGACATTGCTATGACTTGAAGTGAAGGATCTGACACGGGATGTGAAGGAAAGAGAGGAGTCAAGGACGATGCCTCCGGTTCCTGATTTGCACAGATAAATGGATGGTGGTGCCAATTACTAAGGTAGGAGACCCGGGATG